GAGAGTGTGTTGCTGCAGCTAGCTCAGTTAGAAGCTAAGGACTGAGGACCCGTTTTTTCTTATTCTTTCTCTTCCCATTCAGGTTGTAGATGACCTACAGCCATGAAAGTTACTCCAATTGAAGACAAGATATAGCTTTAGCTTAGATAAAAATAATTTTTCAGATACCTTTTACGGTTTTTTCTCAGCAGTCGTTTGTTCGGAGGGGTGCTATAGCAGCTTAAAGATGACAGAGTGTGGTGCTGCAGTTTAAACAAAGGGAGGAGCAGGTGGGATCAGCCATTTTGTTTGTGCTTCGTTTTGGGTTGTGAAAGACCTACAGACATGAAGGTTACCCCAGTCTGAGACAAAGGATAGATGTTTCTTTCACTGAAAGAATTTTTCTAATACCTTTTACGGTTTTTGCTCAGCAGTCGTTTGTTCGGAGGGGTGCTATAGCAGCTTAAAGGTGACAGAGTGTGGTGCTGCAGTTTAAACAAAGGGAGGAGCAGGTGGGATCAGCCATTTTGTTTGTGCTTCGTTTTGGGTTGTGAAAGACCTACAGACATGAAGGTTACTCTAATTGAAGTAAAGATATAGCTGTAGCTTAGATAAAAATAATTTTTCAGATATCATTTATGGTTTTTACTCAGCAGTCCTTTGTTCGGAGGGGGGCTTTAGCAGCTTAAAGGTGAGTGAGAGTGTGTTGCTGCAGCTAGCTCAGTTAGAAGCTAAGGACTGAGGACCCGTTTTTTCTTATTCTTTCTCTTCCCATTCAGGTTGTAGATGACCTACAGCCATGAAAGTTACTCCAATTGAAGACAAGATATAGCTTTAGCTTAGATAAAAATAATTTTTCAGATACCTTTTACGGTTTTTACTCAGCTGTCGTTTGTTCGGAGGGGTGCTATAGCAGCTTAAAGGTGACAGAGTGTGGTGCTGCAGTTTAAACAAAGGGAGGAGCAGGTGGGATCAGCCATTTTGTTTGTGCTTCGTTTTGGGTTGTGAAAGACCTACAGACATGAAGGTTACTCTAATTGAAGTAAAGATATAGCTGTAGCTTAGATAAAAATAATTTTTCAGATATCATTTATGGTTTTTACTCAGCAGTCCTTTGTTCGGAGGGGGGCTTTAGCAGCTTAAAGGTGAGTGAGAGTGTGTTGCTGCAGCTAGCTCAGTTAGAAGCTAAGGACTGAGGACCCGTTTTTTCTTATTCTTTCTCTTCCCATTCAGGTTGTAGATGACCTACAGCCATGAAAGTTACTCCAATTGAAGACAAGATATAGCTTTAGCTTAGATAAAAATAATTTTTCAGATACCTTTTACGGTTTTTTCTCAGCAGTCGTTTGTTCGGAGGGGTGCTATAGCAGCTTAAAGATGACAGAGTGTGGTGCTGCAGTTTAAACAAAGGGAGGAGCAGGTGGGATCAGCCATTTTGTTTGTGCTTCGTTTTGGGTTGTGAAAGACCTACAGACATGAAGGTTACCCCAGTCTGAGACAAAGGATAGATGTTTCTTTCACTGAAAGAATTTTTCTAATACCTTTTACGGTTTTTGCTCAGCAGTCGTTTGTTCGGAGGGGTGCTATAGCAGCTTAAAGGTGACAGAGTGTGGTGCTGCAGTTTAAACAAAGGGAGGAGCAGGTGGGATCAGCCATTTTGTTTGTGCTTCGTTTTGGGTTGTGAAAGACCTACAGACATGAAGGTTACTCTAATTGAAGTAAAGATATAGCTGTAGCTTAGATAAAAATAATTTTTCAGATATCATTTATGGTTTTTACTCAGCAGTCCTTTGTTCGGAGGGGGGCTTTAGCAGCTTAAAGGTGAGTGAGAGTGTGTTGCTGCAGCTAGCTCAGTTAGAAGCTAAGGACTGAGGACCCGTTTTTTCTTATTCTTTCTCTTCCCATTCAGGTTGTAGATGACCTACAGCCATGAAAGTTACTCCAATTGAAGACAAGATATAGCTTTAGCTTAGATAAAAATAATTTTTCAGATACCTTTTACGGTTTTTACTCAGCTGTCGTTTGTTCGGAGGGGTGCTATAGCAGCTTAAAGGTGACAGAGTGTGGTGCTGCAGTTTAAACAAAGGGAGGAGCAGGTGGGATCAGCCATTTTGTTTGTGCTTCGTTTTGGGTTGTGAAAGACCTACAGACATGAAGGTTACCCCAGTCTGAGACAAAGGATAGATGTTGCTTTCACTGAAAGAATTTTTCTAATACCTATTACGGTTTTTGCTCAGCAGTCGTTTGTTCAGCAGCTGTTCCTCCCATTCAAAAAAGCCTGAGAGCTAAGGAACGATAGTGCTGCGCTTTTCTCTCTGTCACTGACAGGCTCGTTAAGCGTTGTCAAGGTAACCGTGCTTCAAACAGATTTTACCTCTGCTGTTTTAAACAGCACATATTAATCTAATGGAGGGTGAAAGCACTGATTTAACATTGGGAAATGGATACTATATGACTGCTGTCCATGACACTTCCCTTGCCACTCAACACTGATAGGCTTTCAAAATAAGACTCCAGGGACCCTACAAAATAAAAGCCTCTATATTTTTTACATATATTTATTGCCCTATATGGCTCAACATTATGACCCAAACTCAACCCCATTTTAGAGAATAGACTCTAGGAGACTGTTTAAAACACACCCTATGGCAAATTTCAAAATAAAAGCCTCCCATTTCCGCTTCATCTACTGCCCTAATAACATGGAAAAAGAGTGATTTAATGATTGGAAAGTCATCAACTATGATTGCTGGGTCTGAACATTTTCTCTAAACACAACTCTGTTGGACTTTCAAAATAAGACTCCAGGGACCCTACAAAATAAAAGCCTCTAGATTATACTAATGCAATAATTGATGCAAATGGCTCAACATTATGACCTAAACTCTTCCAGGTTGTTTTTATTAGACTCTAGTGACCTTTTCAAAACACACCCCAGAGCAAATTTCACAATAAAAGTCTCCCATTTACTCTGTAATACAGCAGCTATTCACCTAATAACATGGAAAACCAGTGATTTAACATTTGGAAATGGATTCTATATCACTGCTGGGCATGACCCCTCTTTTGATGCACATCCATGATAGACTTTCAAAATAAGACTACAGGGACTCTACAGAATAAAAGCCTCTTCCTTATACACACTCATACATTCTGGCATATTGCTCATAGCCATTTGTAATTTCATCACTGCAATGGCTCTGAGCATGCGGGCGGAGCCCGCCATTGGTGATTTCATCACTGCAATGGCTCTTAGAAGGCGGGCGAAGCCCGCCAATGGTGATTTCATCACTGCAATGGCTCTTAGCAGGCGGGCGGAGCCCGCCATTGGTGATTCTTTTCATCGCTGCAAGGGCTCCTAGCAGGCGGGCAGAGCCCGCCAACTGCGCTTTACCCACTGCGGTTCAATATGGACAACCCATATTACCCTTGTGCATCATATGCTGTGCACGTCTATTTCCCAGATTTCAGTACAAGTGGCACACAGCTCTCTTTGCCCATGACCTAGCCCTCTTTGCCTCCCTCAGCAGCCCTCAAAGGCGTAAGCAGCCCCAACGTCACTTGCCAGGGCCGTATTGGCCCAGTTACCCAGACGGGCAGTAGGTGGCCCCCCTCAAAATTTCTTTAGAAATTTTCTAGTGTGATATTATTATCATTACTAAATGGTAGCTCTGTAAATACCTTGATAACCAATGTGCAACCTTCCTGCTTATTTCAAGCATTTACTGTATGTATAAAACTGTTTAAAACAAACTGCATTTTTCAGACTTTAAACAATCACCACACTTGCGTGTAAGCAAAACAAAATCTCTTAATATTTCTCCTGAATTAAAAAAAAAAAAAGAAAAGAAAAAGAAAAATCTGGCAGCATCTTGTTTCTTTAGCTCCCGTTCTTCAGGAGACCTTACTTATTTAACTCTGAGGCCTTTTCAAAAGACTTTTTCAAAATTTGAATTATAAAAAAAGCCTTTCCTTCTGCCTATACCTGACCAACAGGTGGCGCAAATGAGCAACCTCTCCTGAAGCCCGCTGCGCGCTACGCGTTGACATTTCTAATAATTTTCATGTTAGGGAAAGGTGAGCTTTCTCCGACCAGAACCAAAGACTTAAAGGAATAGTACACCCAAAACATGATTAGCCTTCATTTTCTACTCACCCCCATGCTGAACAAAACTCTGGAGTACTTTTTTGATATCTCAAATGCATCTGGAGATCTGGGAGGCTTCTTGCTGTCTGCTGACATTCAAATAATGGAGGTCTATGGCGCCCGAGACAGAAAGGTCCATAAAAGTCCACAAAAACGTGTCAATATTCCTCCATACTGCTCGTCCAATGTAATCCAAGTGTCCTGAGTGGGTAGCATCCAGAATTTACTCGAAACGAAGTCATTTAGAATGTTTTTAGAGCCTAAACAGTAGTGTATAGGATTTCCTAATAGCGCCCCCATGCGCGCTCACGATTCTACGGAAGCCGGCAGACCAAACCGGAAGTCAGCGTCAGCGCATTCAGCTCGGCAAAGAACTCATGCTCTTCCTCAACACTGAAGTCCTCAGACATTTTTCTTTCGTTGTTTCTTTCCTTGCACAGGTAAACAGCACATTTCTTCTTCTACGCTTGCATTACTGGCAGAGCAGACGCTGACTTCCGGTTTGGTCTGCCGGCTTCCGTAGAATCGTGAGCGCGCATGGGGGCGCTATTAGGAAATCCTATACACTACTGTTTAGGCTCTAAAAACGTTCTAAATGACTTCGTTTCGAGTAAATTCTGGATGCTACCCACTCAGGACACTTGGATTACATTGGACGAGCAGTATGGAGGAATATTGACACGTTTTTGTGGACTTTTGTGGACTTTTCTGTCTCGGGCGCCATAGACCTCCATTATTTGAATGTCAGCAGACAGCAAGAAGCCTCCCAGATCTCCAGATGCATTTGAGATATCAAAAAAGTACTCCAGAGTTTTGTTCAGCATGGGGGTGAGTAGAAAATGAAGGCTAATCATGTTTTGGGTGTACTATTCCTTTAAAAAGAGGATCCAAACAGTTTTTAAATTTAATTTAAGGAGTGAACAGAGAAGAGAGTTTCAGAGACTGACTTAGGAGAGAGGTTTATTGCTTTGCTTTTAAGAAGAGAAAAGGTAAGAAACCGAATCATATCTCTTAAATTCAACTAGATGTCCTTTATTAATTTTAGGTAAATACTTTTTTTGATAGTCACTGGCTTGAATTGCCACAAATTTCAGTGTATTATTATTTATTTCTTTTAATGTTTATAAAGTTTCTATCCTTAGTTTCACTTTCATTTTTGAGTAGCTCGTCTGAGAAAGTACACACCCGGTGAAACCGGTGTCTAATAGGCCAATCATAAATTGAAGCTGTGATTTAATGTTATTATTATTATTATTATTGTTATTATTATTATTATTATTATTATTATTTTTTTTTTTTTTTTTTTTTTTTACAACTTTCCAAATTCCCAAAAAAGAAAAAGACAATAGGCCTAACAAACTTTACTTGTATTTCAAGGTAAAGCTTAAAGTCTCATTAAGAATATTAATTTATAATCCTGTATCTTACTCTATTCATTAACTGATCACTACATTACACAGGTTCACTAGATGTTTTGCTCTTCAACTTTTTTTAAAGTAGAAACTCAAAGTAACATGTTCTAGCTGTCAGAAGATTAAAAAGAATGCCATACCTTGCATACAAAAATGACTGCATTTTTTTCTTTTCTTCATAAAAGTTTAAGACTTATCTATATGTTGACCAGAAAATGTTACATAACCTGCTGTTTAACTGTTCTTTTCATAGCACAAAATGTTAACATCTCACAGCTTATCCTTCATTCCATCTCTTCATGTTTGCTGTGGAATTTCTAAAGAGAGTATAGCGTGCCAACAAGTCAGACATACATTTTGCTTACATTTAGAACAGCAGCCACCAGCAAAAGTTTATAGAAAAAGTGTCACACAATGTCAACCTTAGAAAAGTGTAAAAAAAAAAAAAAGTTAAAATAACAAAATAAAAAAAAAATAATAAAGTGAGAATTTTTGCTTCATTTTCAGGTCAACAAGGTAGCGATCTAAGCATGTTCACAAGTTTGTCTGAGGTAAGTTGAAAATTTTAAATAAACTGTATTTGTCTTCAGAAACAATGGCAAATTCCATTAAGAAATAGGTAATTACAATTTTACATGTTATAAAACTGTAACACATCTATTTAATGTCAAAGATTTACTAAGTAAATATTTTGGCTAAACAAAGACATAACAGTGACCGTTTTCCAGCTTGTAAGGCTTTAGGAGCAAGGGTGATTCAGAAAACACAGCAAGCAAAATGAATCATGGTAATATGAAATATAATTTAAACATACTGTAGAAAATCTAAAAAGCAATAAAATAAACATTCAAAACAGTAAAAATGTTAATAAACTAAAAAGAAAACAGCGTATACTATGCACATATTATGCTCTACATAACAATAGTATGTTATGTAAAAAGCCATTTTACATATAACATAGTGTAATATGTATGTGATTTCTTATTGGATACTAGAGAGGCTAAGCCTCCTCTGTAATTTTCCTAAAATAATGGTTCAAATATGGATGGTTAAACTTCTTAAAAGTTGTCTTTAAACTGAATTTAATGTGGCTAAAATGTGCAAAATTTCATGAATATTTTGCACATTAATCAGCTGTCTAGCCCGCTCTCTCCCTTTTGCTCTGGAGCAGGACTACGCTGCCTGTCAGTCTCTATGCAAAATTTCCACTAAGGTTTGAGCCTCTGTTCTTTGAAGCAACAAGTTATAAATAATATGTTTCATAACATGGAAAACCCCATCACTTCCTGTTGGGCTTCTTATGTAATCTATAGAGCAGGGGTAGCTGCTTGATGCTGATTGGCAGAACACACTGACAGATTTTTGAGTGACAGTGGCTAGACAAAGGGAAGAATTTTCTCATGACTCATGAAAAGAAAAAAAAATATTATTCAAACAAAAGAACAGTCGTCTTGCTCTAACCTCTTGCCATTTTGTATTTTTCTAAGCACTTCACAGCAGCTATAATCACCCATTAAACAGACAACATTCAAAATAAATGACAAAATCCAACTGTGATTGCACCATTTTAATCTTGTTAATGTTTCGTTAGTTTCTTTATGTTTGGGTTTGATTAGCCAGTAGCTGCAACTGTAGGATACACATCTTAAAGCATGCTTGTTGTGGTGTTTTCTGACTTTGATTAAGGAAGCCTCTGCTTAGAATTAAGAAGATTTCACATGTCCATATTCCTATTTTTCCTGGTTATCATTTGTATAATTTTGATTATGAAGAATGTATTTCAGATATCATAAATACACATTCAGTCAAGCTTATACTTGTAAATGTCAAAACAGCCACTATAAATGTCTAAAATCAGAAAAAAAAACAGTTTTTGTTACAAATTTTCAATTTAGAAAACATGTTATCACATTTCCATCTACGAATGTCATTTTGACTGGGGATAACGCTATTCTAGTGATCTAAAAATAGAAAAACAGAGAGGAGAGGCCTTTTGATAAATGTAAAAATGGCCTGCCATACTGTACAAGACTACATGTAAACTTTTGTATTAACTTCAGCAGCAATCTTCTCCTTCACCATCTTCCTTTCCTTTGCAGCTGTGGCTCTGTCTCTCTGTCTTTTAAACACATTCTCCATTTTTACTAAAATTTCTGCATTAAAATCTCTAGTTCCAGTGGGGGGAAATCGGCACTTTCTGTTGCCTTTCGTCACATCTTCTCTTCTGAGTGGACCTACTTAGAGATAGTTAAATTAACTCACAGCAGTTTTATGAAACTGAAAACTCAGTTTCCAAACTTTTGCTAGATCAATTCAGAGCAAAGGATTTCAGTTTGTTTTAACTAGGGCTGGGCGATATAGAAAAAAAGCTTATCGATAAAAAAAATGCATATTGATCGATATCGATAATTATTGAAAAGATTTGAAACCATATTTTATGAGCAGCTCTGCCTGGACTTTTTATAATATTGCTAAATGATTTCATTTTAATAAAAAACACAAACACAGACTTCGAATTAAATCTTTATTTAACCAACTTTTTTAACCATAACAGAATTGTTTTAAAGACAAATAACTTAAGAGACCTGAGTTATGTTATTAAATACTGACAAAGAATAAACTAAACTAACCAGAAAAGTGACCAAAATAAATATAACAAATAAATAAATGCCCCGCCGCCCCCGTTTCCTGCTTTAACCTGAGTTATTACTTTGAAGTTTCTGGCCCCTCAGCATTTTTATCTCAATTGTTAGAACTACGTGGGAAACTGCCCAGAACTGAAAATATATATATATTTTCCGAAGATTCCTCGGAGGAGAGCCGCACCGGGGCCTACACAGCTCGTACTCCTGCGGGTGTGAGCGGCTGAGATGATAAAAAAAAAAGTTGGTTTCGTTATCAGACTGGTTTTCACTGGTTCCCGACACATTTTCCAGATGACTGTGGTTTGTTTTTGGTCCGACTTGCCATGACCGAAATACTGCCAGACTGCCGAACTACAAAAACCTTTCTTTGAAACATTTTCCTCCGCCTCTCCTTGCTGCACATCTTCATGTGCTCTGTGTTGTGGTTTGAGAGGGCGGCGCTTTGTGACGGCCTGCCTGGGTCCGCGATTGTGATTGGTTGGGAGGAAGCAATGACTAGCATAAACCTACATGCTAGGCTACAATGAGAAGGAAGGAAAACTACGTTTCTTTTTTATCGACCCTCTTTTTTTCTATTGCGCCACACGTCTATCGATCGATATATATCGTTATTGAATTATCGCCCAGCCCTAGTTTTAACCTGCTTGTTTAAACAGACCCCAGTGATTTCTGAGCTGGATCACAAGAGCATCTCTTACAGAAAAGAACTGAAATCATCGCTGGCATTAGCGCTGCTGTTGAAATGTCGATCAAGGCCAAAAAAATTGGGCTGTGGTCAAGTTTCATGCTACGTTCACAGTGGATGCGATTTGAGTAGCAGAAGCAACCAGTTTACATGCAAAGTCTATGGTTGACCTGCATCAAGGCGCATCCAAAGGCCTTGCAGTGTGTGTCAAATAGCAGGAGCAGTGCATCAGCAGCTCAAGTAGCACCTCATGAGCATCGAGGCACGAGACGTGCTTCACAAGCAACAGATACTGAAGCACTATGATAACTCCTCTGACACAGTTTATTAATGCCTAAATTAACTTAAAGGTATAGGGGAGGATCCCTGTATACACTCCTGAGAGAGAACACCTATTAAATGTGTAAGAGAACCCAGCCCATTTCTCCTTGTGCATGCTCTGTTTAGGTGTTGCTTTTTGCATAGCTCATACAAGCTTACTTTTTAAAAGAAGAAAGGCGAGCTTTAATGGCTTAAACTGTAGCTGACCACATATATACACATGGAAATGCGCATGCACAGAAGACGGATGGCCTTATGTAAACATATCACCAGAATGGTTGACAATTGGGAGGACCACTTAGTTTGTTGATCCACCCAGAAAAAGAGCATCCTCCACTATACCTTTAAATGTTGTCAAATCCTCTCGACAAAATATGTTCACTTTTATTAGCCTGGTACCTGCGGTTTGTACTGTATACCACAAAAAACTGACATCTACTTCCAGCTGCCACGAACAGTAGGGGAATAATCCCCAAGGGGGCGACTGGGCCTGAGGCAGCTGTTGCTGGCTGCTGTTGTGGGTGAGTCTGTGCACCTCCAGCAGCGAAATAACATTTTAAGGCAGGATTGTAATCTTGATGCACTGACTGGTCTGACATTGTTTTGAGATGTACTCTCTCACTTAAGATATATTAAAACTACTTTTTACCCACATATCACAGCAAATATAGCAAAGCCACTGCCATTGAACACAGGAGCAGCAAAAGCATCAGACTTTCGAGATGCTTTAAACACCTCAAAAGCATCTTTGATGCTTCTAAAAAACTTCCTTAATGTATGTAGGCAAAAATTTAGCAGCATACGCTTTTTTGCTACTAAAATCATGTTTGGTTTGAATGTAGCATCAGGTGCTAAGCTCATTATCATTCCACAGACCAAACTACCTTCAAAGAGCTTAATTTAAGGAGCTAAGGCACATCTGCCTAACTGTGCCAAGAACCTGACTGAAAAAATTTTATTGTATGATCTGATGAACTGTAAAGTGTCTTGAGTTGAATTGGCGCTATATAAATAAACTGAATTTAATTTAATTGAACCACTATAGAGATGAGTTATTCACTAGTTATTAGTATTCATTAGTTTTTCATAACCTGCTGACTTCATAAAAGCTGGGAGATACAATTCTAATTCAAAAGAGTGATACTGTAGTCAGTGAAAAATACCCCGAGCCGAACATACAGTTACATTCAGTGCAACTTTCTACGTATCCCCTGAACTGCTTATTATGCAAGAAGCCTCACGGAAGTTGCAAGGAACAACAGTGTATTAATTGCAGAGGTACATGAACTATTTGGGCAAGTGGCGACCCTTTTCAGGATGCTTTTGATGGTCCCTGTTTCATCCTCTGAGGCAGTGAGAATTTTAGTGCAATCCACAGGCTCGAATTTGGGTCCTTTCAACAATGACGCAGAACTTATCATATTGGCGTCTGTCATGTTCATTAGGATGAACGAGTTACTAGACAAAAAGTCAATTTGAAGCAACTTGTGGCTTCAAATGAAGCCACAAGTTTATTTTTATTAATTTTTGTTAGCATAACTGTTGCACATATCTACTTCTAGTTTTTTGAGAAGAGCAAATCTTTATGTAATGTATTACAATTCATTTTTTTTATTTATAATAAAACATGATAATTGTTTTTTCACATTACTCATATTTCTTTATAAAAGAAAGGTGATCTCAAAAGAACCAGTTCATCTGCCAGCAGAGATGGGAAGTAACGAAGTACAAATACTTCGTTACTGTACTCAAGTAGATTTTTCTGATATTTTTACTTTACTTTACTACTTATTTTTATGGCGACTTTTTACTTCTACTCCTTACATTTTTACACAAATATCTGTACTTTCTACTCCTTACATTTTAAAAAATTGGCTCGTTACTTTAGTTTTGAATCATTTCAATGGAGTTACCGTTATTATTTTTCACGTCATCAATACCAAATTCAATCTAATTGGATGGGAATCTACGTTGCATTAGATGCACCACTACAAGATGAATCGACAGATTCGGCGGTATTCATTCGCGGCAAATCATTGCAGCTTGGTGGCGGTGGCGTTAGCATAGTAGTATGGACGATGAGATGATTGAAAATGAACACAACAGAGATCTAGTCCTATTGGCAGACATCCATTTAAAATGTAGGCAACGGCATGAAAAAAGTGGTTTATACTTTTCTTTTATACTTTAAGTAAATTTACAAGCCTGTACTTTGTTACTTTTACTTGAGTAAAGAGGTTTAATCAGTACTTCCACTTTTACCAGAGTATTTTTTAACACAAGTATCTGTACTTTTACTCAAGTACGGAAAGTGAGTACTTTTGCCATCTCTGTCTGCCAGTCAATCTAAATATATGTATTTTTGATCAATAAAACATGTTGGACCTTTTTGGGATGTGTAAGATTTCCAATATGTCCCCCCAGTATTGAACCCATCTCTACATTAATACAAATAAGTCACAATAACCTTTCAGACAAAATTTGCAAGTTTTCAAAACAAAAACAATGCTTCATTTGGCTACTGTATAAAGCCCCGAACTCACTTTTATAACTTTTTCTGGAATTCTCCTACCTTTTTTCCCCTACTTTTGTATCCCCCAGAAAGTTGTTTTCCTTTTGAAGCAGGCTTATACAAATATGCTTCATGTTCTCGTGCAGCAAACAAGATTTTTTAGTACAGTAGTAACTTGCAAAGTTAAAACTGCATGTTGAGACGCAAATGGCATGTACTTATATAGCGCCTTTATTCAAGTCAGGAGACTTGACCAAAGTGCTTTACACTACATGCATTCACCCATTTATGCACACACTCACGGTGGCAAGCTACATTGTAGCCACAGCTACCCTGGGGCTCACTAACAGAAGTAGGGCTGCCATACACTGGCACATCCGGGACCACCATGTCTTGCCCAAGGACACAACGACACTGAAAGTCGGAGTCGGGGCTTGAACCGTCAACCCTTCGATTTTAGGGCAAACTCCTACATCCAACGCCACTGTCGCCCCACTTTCAGCTAGATGACTTAAACTACACACTAGACTCACCACAATTGTGTTACATTTCTGTGAGTTTATCTTGTTCCTCTGATTTGACCTCTCTGTCTCTCTTCACATCCCAACATGTTTTCTTTTGTAAGCGGACAGCACATTCTTTGAGTTTGCAGAGGAGTAATATCAGACCCAGTCAGATGTTCATTAGAGTTTTCACTTGCAGGAAGAAACGGTTGCTGATTGTGTTGCTTTTAGCGTACGGGGCTGTAGCCCATAGCTGAGCGGAGTAGTAAGAACAATCTTTGACCAGGGTGAGATGGGTCTGCAGGAGTTTTTTTTTTCCTGCCAGTTTCCTGGCTCTCAAAATTTATTAATTTTTATTGAAGGAATTGGTGCAAAAAGTACATCCTCTGCTAGGCCATTTTGTTGATGCTGTCAGTGTGGGGCTCCCATATCAGGTGCAGGATATAGTGATGTCCAAAATATGTAAGATATAATTACATTAGAAAAAGGGCTGTTGAGTATGGTGATAGGGGGTATAGTCACTTTTTATTTTTATATGTGAAATAAAATGAAATTAAGGTTTCACAATTTCCAAGCTGGGCTTAATATATTCCCAACTAGTCTAGAAATACATTACTGTTAGGTTAATTGGCTTCTCGAAATTATCCTTAGGTGTGAGTGTGTGTGTGTGTGTGTGTGTGTGTATGGTTGTTTGTCCTGTTTGTCTCTGTGTAGCCCTGAGATGAACTTGTCACCTGTCCAGGGTGTACCCCGCCTCTCGCCAATAGAAAGCTGGATATAGGCAACAGCACCCCTCGCGACCCCCGCTTGGGATAAAGCGTGTGAGAAGATGGATGGATGGATAGTCTAGAATATTATTATCTAGGTTTAAAAGAGTATGGCAACTGTATATTTTTAACTGGGTTAAAGACGTCTGACATAGCTTGATGCGTCTATGACAATGAATGACCAGCCGAAACCTGCTATTTAATGCTACCCCCTGCCTATCTATAGCTTATGCAGGTTTTTGCTATGCTAACACCTAATTCCGGCCTGTCTGTGCTAACAGACAGCAGAAGAAGTAGGCAATCCAGTGAGCCATCAGCCTAGGCATGGTGGTCACCAGCCTCTACATAGCTAATACAAGTGGGTTTCCTCCCTCTCCAACATCAGATTAGTAGCCGATCTTGGAGATGAACAGCCTTGTGCTGTTCTGCACAAGGCTGTTCATGTAGTTAAAAATGTTCCTAGTTGCATTCTGTGGGAAATTCTTTCCACTCGGATGCCAGGCTGAGGTAGCCTGATAAACCAGACTAAATGTGAGATTAAATGTGAAATTTAGTCTGGCCCCGATGATTGAGACATCGGAAGATTGTTGATGAGAACAACCCATTGTCTTTTAAACCACTGTCTGTGCCTATTGGCCAATCCTCTGACCAATGAGCACAACTGGCTGCACGACAGAAAGCTGGCTGGAGAGTGTAAACAAACAGCCTGTCAATAAAACGGCGAATACGTCCTTCTTAAAAATGTTTGAGTTTAGAGCCTCTTCCTGCTCACGTTTCAACGAAAACCCCAAGTCTAATCTTCCTTGTTATGCTTTCTCCAGCATCGTGCAGGTTTGTCATCATGCCCTCAAAACCCGGCTAGCTTTGCATCCAGACATTCTGGCCCACCAGTTCTAGGGCCTGGGGCATTGATTGAGGCCAGACCAAACTCGCAGGTAAAAATGATTTTGGCAGCTGGCAAGTAAATAGCATATCACAGGAGTCCCTGTAAAGTAATCATGAGGAGTTTGTATTTCAGATGGATGTTTCTGGCCAAGAAGCAAAGAGTGAGCCATCTGCTGGAGCTGTTGTTCGAGTAGAGATTGGTTTAGGAACCATTGAGAATGAGCAGGTGAAAAACTCTGCATGTCAAAGCTGTATAAACAAACAACCGTATAATTATTTCAAAATCTTTCAGATGTGTTAGTTTAAATATGATATAATTTATTCTCTTCCAAATTTAGCAAACAAAAATGTATTTCTTTAATATTTCTTTTTTGTCTCTAGGTGGATGCCATTGTATCACCGATGGTTGGCCATGATCCTGCCTCTACTCGCATTGGAAAAATTTTAAACAATGTCACTGGTGGTCAGTTGGAAGTTAAGTTTTCCCAGGAAGCAGGAGAAGCAACTCTTCCAAGTGAAACAGTTGTGGTTGAAGGGTTACCTGGTCTTAAATGTAAAGCAGTCATTTTCCTCAACTTACTCTGCTGGGATGATAACCAAAATGGATCAGCAGTCCAGGTAGAATATGTTTAAAATTTTTCTTCACCCAAATTTAGACTTTACTTCAACTTCTTCTTAACTGAAAACCTCCTTTGCTTCTGACAGGCACTTAGACAGGGAATCAAAAGGATTTTTGCTATATGTAATATCAGAGGCTACAGTTCAGTCACTCTTCCAGTGCTTGGAACTGGTGTTTTATTGTGTTTTCCACCCAAAATTACTTCCTTAATTCTTCTGGAGGAAGTTGGTATATATGGACAAAACCAAATCAGCAGATCAGGCTTCCTTGTTCGAGTCATTATTCACCCAAAGGACAAAGAATCAAGTCAGGTTAGAGATATATTACTACTTTTGTTTTAAATTGAATGTTTACACCACATTTAGTTTTTATAAGTGTAATAATGGTTTTTGCTTTTCCTTTACAGGCATTTTGGTCTGCTCAGGGGATATTGCTTCAAAGAGGGTTCATTAGGGGGGCCACATGCCGAAGGCATGGCCCACCTACTACTATCTCACATATTTATTCCGCGTATTATACTAGCTTATAGTTCTCCTCGCCACCAAAACTTCGGCACCTAACTAGTCCCGCACGGTTTGGCGGATCGGGCCCAAAGTTGGCACACGCGTCGGGACCAATGGTGCGATGCGTGCTTGTATAAAACTTTCTCATTAGTCCGAAGGTTCGCGAATTATTAGCGAAAACGTCGCAAAAAAAATCCCATAGGAAATGAATGGGGAGAGGGAAAAAAAAGCATAAAAAACAGCACTTCACTGTGTCGGCATACATTCATGTAGAAAAACAGTTTAAAGCTCAGTTTGTAGATAAATCCTTCGTCTATTTAAAACTGAAGACGGCATGTTGATAACTGCTACGGTTTTTGTATAATCAGACCTCAAGCGCCACAAAGTTTTAGCAAAATCCACCCTTCTAGAGTGGAGAGACTGAAAAGCTAGAGTGTGAGGCAGCCGTTTTTTTAAGACCAAAAAACATTTTAAACTCGCCCTCACGGCCACATATTTATAGCTAGAGTCACCATTTTTGGTCAGTTTGTAGACTGAAATCTCTGGACCCACACAATGTCTTCGGAATTACGGTAGGATTAATACTTTTCCTTAAAAACCCTCCAGACCGACCTAAAATCGATCAAAATCAGAGCCGTTTTTCATTGGTTTTGGAGCAGCAGTGGGGAGAAAAACGAATGACATTATGTGTTTTCAACTCGTCATAAATATTTTTCTGAAAGACACACATACACCAAAGTTGGCATAGTTGGAGTCGAAGGATGGCTGACGGTCACGGTGAAAGAATCTTTTGAATAACTCATACGGTTTTTGCTCAGCAGTCGTTTGTTCGGAGGACATTTTAAGCACCAGAAAGCTGGGTGACAGTGAGCTGCTGTAGCTAGCTCAGTTAGAAGCTAAGGACTGAGGACCCGTTTTTTCTTATTCTTTCTCTTCCCATTCAGGTTGTAGATGACCTACAGCCATGAAAGTTACTCCAATTGAAGACAAGATATAGCTGTCGCTTAGATAAAAAGAATTTTTCAGATATCATTTATGGTTTTTACTCAGCAGTCGTTTGTTCGGAGGGGTGCTTTAGCAGCAAAAAGATGAGAGAGGAGCTGCTGCAGTTAAACCAATGGTAGGAGCAGGTGGGACCCACCATTTTGTTTGTGCTTCGTTTTGGGTTGTGAAAGACCTACAGACATGAAGGTTACCCCAGTCTGAGACAAAGGATAGATGTTTCTTTCACTGAAAGAATTTTTCAAATACCTTTTACGGTTTTTGCTCAGCAGTCGTTTGTTTGGAGGGTAAGCACCTGGAAGCTAGCTGACAGTTAGCTTCTGCAGCAGCCTGCTAGTGTGCAGCTGCTGACATCTTAGTGTGAGGCGGCCGTTTTTTTAAGATAAAAGATTTTGTTCTTGCCTCACGGCCACATATTTGGAGCTACAGTCACCATTTTTGGTCAGTTTGTAGGCTGAAACCTCTGGACTCACACAATGTCTTCGGAATTACGGTAGGATTAATACTTTTCCTTAAAAACCCTCCAGACCTACCTAAAGTCGATGAAAATCAGAGCCGTTTTTCATTGGTTTTGGAGCAGCAGTGGGGAGAAAAACGAATGACATTATGTGTTTTCAACTCGTCATAAATATTGTTCAGAAAGACACACATACACCAAAGTTGGCATAGTTGGAGTCGAAGGATTGCTGACGCTCACGGTGAAGAAATTTTTTGAATAACTCATACGGTTTTTGCTAAGCAGTCGTTTGTTCGGAGCTGTTGCTCCCATTCAAAAAAGCCTGAGAGCTAAGGAACGATAGTGCTGCGCTTTTCTCTCTGTCACTGACAGGCTCGTTAAGCGTTGTCAAGGTAACCGTGCTTCAAAGAGATTTTACCTCTGCTGTTTTAAACAGCACATATTAATCTAATGGAGGGTGAAAGCACTGATTTAACATTGGGAAATGGATACTATATGACTGCTGTCCATGACACTTCCCTTGCCACTCAACACTGATAGACTTTCAAAATAAGACTCCAGGGACCCTACAAAATAAAAGCCTCTATATTTTTTACATATATTTATTGCCCTATATGGCTCAACATTATGACCCAAACTCAACCCCATTTTAGAGAATAGACTCTAGGAGACTGTTTAAAACACAACCTAAGGCAAATTTCAAAATAAAAGCCTCCCATTTCATCTTCATCTACTGCCCTAATAACATGGAAAAAGAGTGATTTAACGATTGGAAAGTCATCAACTATCATTGCTGGGTCTGAACATTTTCTCTAAACACAACTCTGTTGGACTTTCAAAATAAGACTACAGGGACCCTACAAAATAAAAGCCTCTAGATTATACTAATGCAATAATTGATGCAAATGGCTCAACATTATGACCCAAACTCTTCCAGGTTGTTTTTATTAGACTCTAGTGACCTTTTCAAAACACACCCCAGAGCAAATTTCACAATAAAAGTCTCCCATTTACTCTGTAATACAGCAGCTATTCACCTAATAACATGGAAAACCAGTGATTTAACATTTGGAAATGGATTCTATATCACTGCTGGGCATGACCCATCTTTTGATGCACATCCATGATAGACTTTCAAAATAACACTACAGGGACTCTACAGAATAAAAGCCTCTTCCTTATACACACTCATACATTCTGGCATATTGCTCATAGCCATTGGTGATTTCATCACTGCAATGGCTCTTAGAAGGCGGGCGAAGCCCGCCATTGGTGATTTCATCACTGCAATGGCTCTTAGCAGGCGGGCAGAGCCCGCCATTGGTGATTTTTTTCATCGCTGCAAGGGCTCCTAGCAGGCGGGCGGAGCCCGCCAACTGCGCTTTACCCACTGCGGTTCAATATGGACAACCCATATTACCCTTGTGCATCATATGCTGTGCACGTCTATTTCCCAGATTTCAGCACAAGTGGCACACAGCTCTCTTTGCCCATGACCTAGCCCTCTTTCCTTCCCTCAGCAGCCCTCAAAGGCGTAAGCAGTTGGTCTGGGGAGCCCCAATGTCACTTGCCAGGGCCGTATTGGCCCAGTTACCCAGACGGGCAGTAGGTGGCCCCCCTCAAAATTTCTTTAGAAATTTTCTAGTTAACAATATTATTCCGGATCAAGGTACTTTTACCAAACCTCATCTATGCAGGGCTTTATTTGACCAATAATGGTGAAATGATGACAATGCATGCATGCACTCTTTTCAAAACAAGTTAGGATTAATTACCTTCTCTCCTTTTCTGTATATTTTTCAAAAAAAAAAAAGAAAAAAAAAAGATGCAGTGGGGAGTGTGTGTGTGTGTGTTTGTGAATTGCTTCAAAGCAGCTCATCAATTGGCTTCAATGAAGGCAAATCATTTTCAAAGGCTGACAAAATTATGTAGTGATGAATGTTGTGGTCGAAAAATGTTTTACTATCATATCCCTTCTAATTATGACTCTAATATTGATTTATGAGTGCTCATTTTTCTTATAAAAGGAATATATTTACTCAGCCTTCCCAAACTTACAAGGCTATGAAGTGTCTAAGGGATTGTGGACTGTTTTTGACGAGAGGCCATACCCCCTTAGACCCAAGTTTCTTTCAACATTACGCTATTTTCTTCAACTGTCTTTAACTTGTTTCTTTTAAATGAATGAGACAAACCTTCACAGCTTTTTGCAGGCTTTAAGTAGTTAGTGAAATCTAAAATTTGTGTTGAATAAGACTTAGACATCTCTTATCCTCATACAAATAGTTTTCCTTTGCAACTGTGTTTGTAGATTCCATAAAGGATATTATAAATAGTTTTATTTTTTATGTTAACTATGTCTCATCTTAGAGCACTCTCCTGGTTGTGTGGCTATATTGTAATGACATTCAGTAAGTGTTTTTTTTTTTTTTTATGTGATTGGACTTGAACTGGCCTATGTCCGGTAAACTAGAGATGCTTTTTTAACTGCATCTTAACTGAGGGAGACTCTCTTATGCCTTAAGATGTGCTTTAAGAACTTAGATCTATCTAAGTAAAGGGTTTTTTTTTCTGGTGTTTCTATAAAATTTGTCCTAGCAGAATTGTGAAGTGGTAACCTTTAAAGTGTTACAACCGTAAATTATATTCTTCAGTTTGTAAGCTTGTGATTTCCCTCTTCCAAACAGGTTGGTAACTTTCAGCTTTCTGGCTTTATTAGTGGCACCCTGTTGTGAAACCAATAGTTTGCAGGAGTCAAAACCCAATCAAATTTAAAATAAATTTTGGTCTTACCTACAATTCTTACTTGGGTAGTGATCTATTTGTATTGTATTTAACATACATATGACTAAAAGCACTAGAAACTACAGACACTGGCATGGAAGCAGAACAATTCACACTTTTCATATAAAAAAAAAAAAATTACATTTACACCATCAACATACAGTGAGTGTACAATGGAGTATTAGGGCCAGGCTAGAGATGTGTTTTTTTTTTTTTCGTTTCTTTTTAATTCGAGAATAAAGTCACAATATTATGATAAGCCAGTCATAATGGATTTAAATTTTTCAGCTTTGGATTTAAACATAAATATTACATTGCGGGAATAGTTGCAACGAGAAAGTAATAAAATTATGAGAATAAAGATGTAAACTGTTTCCTTGCGATGTACTGGCGACCCGTCCAGGGTGTAGCTTGCTTCTTGCCCTTAGATAGCTGGAGATAGGCACCAGCACTGTCACCGCCCGATCCCTCAAGAAGCAAGATCCATCCAGCACCATCAGCTCATTTGCACATGCGCATCCAAATATACATCTGGGCAGTGTTGGGCAAGCTACTTGTCCATTGTAGTGAGCTAAGCTATCAGTTACTCAGCAATAAATTAAGCTTCACTACACAAAAGCTACCACCTAAAGAATTATAGCAAGCTAAGTTACACTAATGTGTTAAAAGTAGCTTAACTACATCAGAAGCTACTTAACGTTGTACCAACCTAATGTCAATTCAAAATGAGTCTGATGCACTGGTTAAAATATTTATTAAAGATCAGCCAATGACATATCACAGTGTAAACATTGCTTTATGATCAGCATATTAAAATAAAAACTAAAGTAATTACTAGTAGACAAACTAGTAAACAATCTGCTGTTATTAGAACCAAATTAAAGTTACTGTGTAGTGTTCTACACATGGAGACATGGCTATGAGTTTGCATTCAATGGACATCTCTAGGGAAAACGAAACCCTACAAAAGACCTCAATTAAACAGTTGATTCAAGTAACAAACAAAACTGTTTACAAAAGAAGGTGAAAAAATAAAGAAGCTAATTAAGAGATACATATATATATATATATATATGTCTCACCATATAATTTAATTTCTACCTACATATTTATTCATTGTATTTTTGGAGGCAATAATTAAATGCTTATTTATTTATTTATTGAGCATTTATTTATTTATGTATTTATTTTATATACGGTAGAGCTGTTCCTCCATAAAAAATGTTATCTGTGCAAAGCCTAAAAACAGATTTATGTAAACATCCTGTCAGGTAAACTAGGCCATGAAAATACAATATCGAAGTTTCACTACTGCTCTCTAATTACAGTATCTTAGTGGCACATAGATATGAGAGAGAATTATCCTGCCATAATGCAAGAGCACATAACTTCAATCAGAGAAAAGAATTTCATCTTCTTGCTCTCAAAACTTATAATGCTCACACTCCAAACATGCGCTCTCTCTCAAATCTTTTCTCTTCTCTCTCAAATCTTTGTTTCTTCTCTCAGATTTAATGCTTCTTGCACAGATATTTTCTCCTCTCGCTTGCTTCCTTCTCTTCGCGCACAAACCGCGCTCTGTTTGAGTCTCAGATATGCTCGCAAACCCGTAGACTCTGCTTGCGGATTTGTTTTGCTCTCTCTCAGACTGCAGTTGGATCGTCGCCTAGCAACCTTTCCAGCCAATAGAACGACAGCCTCGGAAAGGGTGCGCTTGTTTAACCCTACTGAGTGTGCCTGTGCTACTACGCCACTTATAAAGCGTCAGCTGAAACTGCTATTTACAGTAGTTTTGTGGCTGATTGTTGTTTAGAAATAGAAAACCTGGTTTCATTTCTTAGTTATGCCCTGGATTTTGTAGCGTTTGTGGACGCTACGTCGCTACTTGATCGAAACAATAACGTCGCTACAGGAAAGTTACTTGATAAATAAAGCAGCGACGCTACCCTCAAGCTACTGGAAAATGTAGTTAAACTAATAGCTTCGCTACATGTAGCGGCGCTACTGCCCATCACTGCATCTGGGTCACCCTCGATTTTATTTTGTTAAAAACAATGTAAATGACCTTTCCCTCACAATAATAGTAAGTGTATTAAAATATAAGGTGCTTAAGGTTATTAATCTATTTCCTGAGAAAATAAATGCCTTTAAAATCCTTTCTGTTTTATCAGTCATTTCTGTCCAATAATCACTGGAAATGGGATTCTATGCTACTTCCGGGAGCAAAATTTTCGGCTTTGGATTTAAAAATAAATCTAGTCTTTTTGAGTTTTATGTTTTCCTTCTGTGTTAACATTATGGTATATAGTGAATCTAACGAAAGAAATTGCAGATAACATTGCAGATAAAATTTTTGCCGGACTGCTCTGAGCATGTCTGGTGATGACATCAGAGAAGCAGTTTAAACAAGAAAATGTAAAAAGCATCAAAATTGTCTCACAAAAGTCCTTAAACATTTTTTTAAATATTTGTATTTAAATCTATTATCATAATTTCTTTATTTTTGGACACCTGGATGTATATCTGTTTGCGCATGCACATCATACTTCCAGGACGGATTGGGTAGAGACAAAAACCTGTCAGAACTCTGCCAGGCATAGGCGTGACGGAACATGGATGGATGGAAGTTGTAACATTACCAGAATGAAGTCCTTATATTACGAAAATAAAGTTGTATTTTGTGACAACTCTTACAAGAAGCACTTCTAATGAGGAATGTCGCTTTCACAAATAAAGAAATCTTTTTGCACAGCAGCATCAAATTAGGCCGTATGTCAGGTTGCTGATTGGTGGAGCTGGTCGGCCATCATATGCTGGTCGGAGCTCCGAAACGGGTTGTGGTATGATGACTTCATTCTGGTAAATTTAAAACTTTATTCTCATAACTTTATGATTTTATTCCCATAAATGTACCACTTTATCCTCATAACGTTATGATTTTATTCTGTAATATTACAACTTTGTTCTCATAATATTCTCAGAATGTTGCAACTTTATTCTCATATAAAAAAAAAAATCTCTAGCCTGGCAATAGTACTCCGTCGTAGTGAGAATATAGCTGTACAATAAACTAGTATATAATTGATTTTTTTATTCTTTATTTTTATGTAATGGTCTTCCACTTACAGCTGATAAAAACAAAACATATAAGATCAAATTATTACATCAGACAAAAAAAAACAATAATAATATAATATACAACCGATATTTTCATGTGAACTATACTATATCCTGTTGTGATCCTTCTATAGAGAGTTTTGCATTCAATTAATGTTTTCAGTTATACTTTAGAACTACAAATTCTAAAATTCAAAGATATTTTGGAATTTGGAGATGCCGTGTTAAATTAAACCACAAAACCAAGAAGTTAGAAAACCACACCAAACCAGCTGAATTTAGCTAATATTATGTGAAAAACATAAGGAAATTTAAGTCATTTTTTGTTTTTGCTTCCACCTGTGCAGGTTCCTTTTACCAGTGTGTTTCTTTAACTAAAGATGAGATCACAGCCATGATGGGTGGAGTCAAACTTCAGATTCTCTGCGGCGACATCGTAAATGAAAGAACAGACGTTATTGTCAACACAACCAACTTTGAAAACTTATGGTTTGGTAATATTTGAATGCTGGCCAATACACATTGAAAAGTAAAAATGGTTCTAGCGGTGTATTTTAATAACATTTTTATTTGGTCTATTGTTCTCTAAACTCCAAAGGTGTCTCTAAAGCCATTCTGACAGCAGCAGGCCCAGCTGTCCATGCTGAATTGAAACAAGGTAAACCTCATAAACAGAATATCAGGAATATGTATTTATAAGATGTTTATAGCCAAAGCATCTTTGTAATATTTTCTTTCAGTTTTGGTTTTGTATATTAAAAATTTTATAATTTTAAGTGTATAAAAAAGAAAATGCTTTAATGCAGTTGCAGTGCCAAGTTCCAGTTTCATCCTAGTGGGTAAAACAACAAGATAAATTAAAATATCATGAAAATAAAAAGTTTTTTAAAGTCAATTCCTACATTTTAGACACTAAAATTAAAAATACAATTTGTATTCCAAATTTAAATAGAATTTTATATTGGTTGAAACCATAGTAAGGGAATAATATTATACTTGGGTCCATGAGCTTTTCCATGGCTTCTCCATGCTTTCTTTGGCCATTATTCTGGTAGAGGTTTGTCTTGTTGTTATCTATCCAAAGGAGGATTTGTTTCTCAGAACTGTCCTGGCTTTTGTAGAGTTTTTATTTTATTTTTTTGTAATGTCCAATCTAAAATTTCTCTCATGTAAATTTTATTGAGTTTTTTGTTTTGTAAAACATACAACAGATATTTTATGCCACACCGACCTTTACAAATTTACTTTACCGTTAGCCAGTTGAGAAAGGCAGACCATGTACTATCATACTGATACATTTTACCTAGAAGACTGTATGTCACTTTCTCATAAGAAGCCAGTTTAACCATAGTCGTCAGCCATTCATAATAAGGAGGAGGGTTCTTTTTCATCCAGTATCTTAACAGGATCCTTTTTGCTGTGGTCAGAGCCAGAACCAGCCACCTCTTGTCAAAAAGTGAGAAATATGAGTCCGGGAGTTCTGCTGTGGAGCCTAAAACTGCGAGCTTGGCAGTGATATTAAACCTTCTTTCCAGTACTTCAAAAATTACTTCCATAATATTTTTCCACCAATCTTGAAGAGCAGGGCAGGTCCAAAGAATATGTAGAATAGATGCTCCCTCCTTGTTGCACCTCCAGCAGGTGTCTTTGGGAATCAGGTTCCATTTATGAAGTTGCTGAGGGGTTCTGTGCCATCTGTGAATTATTTTTAATTGAATAAACTTGTTACTCATTTCTTTATACATTGTGTTTACATTTTGTAAACATGAGTGCCAATCGTCCTCAGAGATGTCTAAGGCCATTTCTTCAGTCCAGTGTTTTTTAACCTTTGATAATGGATCGCCCATTTGAACAAGTAACATCTTGTATATATTAGAGGTAATACCTTTGCCATTGGCCAGCTTGGAAAGCAAGATTTCTACAGGGCTGCCCGAAGGGCATCTCAGAGGGGTTCCCAGCCATTTAGACAGTGAACTACGTAGTTGGACATATCTCCAAAATTGATTGCGAGGCAAATTATATCTATCAACAACCTCATCGAAGCTCAGATAGTTATTGGTTTTGGCATCAAACAAATGGAATACACAGGAGATTCCCACCTCAAACCACTGTGGCCAGTTGACTGATTTTCCCCCAATAAGAATTTTGTTATTATTCCATAAAGGAGCTAATGATGACTTAATGAAATCCCAGCGACCTGCTCTGTGTAATTTATTCCAAATTAATTTGTCCGCCGTAATAATAGGGTGATCTCTATGAATTTTTGTTTTAACACCTAATAAAGTAGCCCATGGAGATTCACCTCCGTTCGCATCAGACTCCAGCTGAGACCAGGAAGGTTTATCAGAGGAATTGAAAGTGGGTAACCAAACTCTAAGTTGTTTTGCCTGCAAAGCCCAATAATACCATTTAAAATTAGGTAAGGAAAAACCACCCCTGTCAGGGCTCGCTTGTAACTTTTTAAGACTCAGACGGTGATGGGATTTACCCCATAGAAAATCCAATATTAAGGTATTTAGCTCTTTGAAAAAAGAGTCTTGAATATGCAGAGGAATATTACGGAGGAGATAGAAAACAACTGGGGCTGTCATCATCCTAATAGAGTTAATGTTTCCCCACAGGGACAAGTGAATTTTAGACCATCTACCAAAGTCAGTTCTTATTTTTCCAATCAAGGGGCCGGTATTCATTTTAACCATATTGTTATAATCAGAGGTGATCTGTATGCCCAAATATTTAATACTTTTGGGAGACCAACAGAATCTCCAGTTTTTATATAGAGAGGAGGGGCAGTGTCCAGACATGGGCATAGCTTCAGACTTTTCCCAATTTACTTTGTATCCAGACAATAATGTGAAATCTTCAATACAGTCTAATAAAATGGGAACAGATTCTTCAGGTTTAGTTAGAAGGACCAACATATCATCTGCGTACAGAAGAAGCTTGTGATGAATGTTGCCTACGTTAATACCATGTATGGCTGTATGATAGCGAATTTTTTGAGCCAGAGGTTCAATTGCAATCACAAATAAGCCGGGGCTAAGCGGGCAGCCTTGTCTCGTTGACCTTTGTAACGGAAATAGACTAGATATGAGACCTTTAGTTAATACACAAGCAGAGGGCTTATCATATAAGGTTTTTATCCATTTGATGAAATTGCTCCCAAAGCCAAATTTTCCCAGAATCTTAAAAAGGAACTCCCATTCTACACAGTCAAATGCCTTAGCTGCATCCAATGATAAGGCGATAGTTGGTTGTGTTGAGTCATATACATGATATTGTAAATTCACTAGTCTCCTAATATTATCTGAGCCACATCTGTTGGGGATGAATCCGGACTGATCTATATGTATTATGCTACCAATAACCTTTTTTAATCGAGTAGCAAGTACTTTTGCTAGGATCTTCTGGTCACAGTTAAGTAAAGAAATTGGTCGATATCCGTTAGGATCTAGAGCATCTTTACCTTTCTTGTGAATTAATGTTATAAGTGCAGAATGCATTGATTGTGGTAGGGAGCCATTCTGAAAGGCTTCATTATAGATATCTAATAACAAAGGGCTTAGAATATCTTCAAATGATTGGTAGAAGTCCAAGGGAATACCATCTAAACCTGGTGCCTTGTTCAGTGGCATGCTTTTAATGGCTCGAGAGATCTCCTGAATGTTTAAAGGAGCCTCTAAATATTCCCTATCCTGTTCTGTGAGCTGAGGGAGGTTAAGATCTGCAAGAAATATTTAGAATTTTTGGTCATCTAACTTACCTTGGGAACAGTATAAGTTATTATAAAAAGTGCTGAACCTATCATTTATCTGTTGGGACAATCTAAAATTTCTAATAATTAATTTTAGAAGAGGCTTGCATATTGTATTGAATCCTCGATATGTGCCTCTAAGCAGTATTCTTTCAATGGTAGACTTAGATCAGCCTACTCCCTGGAGAGGGTTGTTCTCTTGGTTGCTCTTGTGAACAAGTTTCTCTTCAACATGGAAATTCTGTTATCTTCTTTGGAAATCAAGGACCTTTAGCATTATTAGGAAAACCAGCTTTTTTATTCTACCGTATTTTCACGACTATAAGGCGCACTTAAACATCTTTTTTTTCCCTCAAAATGTGCGGTGCGCCCTATGGTGCGGTGCGCCCTATGTGTGTTGTAACTGCGACTTTTGAGACCACCTCATTGAGGAGATGATGAAAGAAAGGCTGAATGTAAGGAGACCAGGTGTTTTTTTTTTCCACCCCTCACCATTGCTGTTAATATGTAACTCCATGCGTGCCCGTCTCACAGCTGATGTGAAAAACATGGGGAAACAAATTAACGCTGTGCTCGCTGTTCAACCGCTCGACATCGGTGTGAACCGGACCCAGCAGGTGCAGCAGAAGCAGCGAGTTTACATGCAAAGTCAATGGTTGACGCGCATATAGGTGCAGTAAAAGGTCCTGCAGCGCATTTTGGTGCAGCACGTCGGGAGCGTTTAAGCATCTGACGCACCGCCAACGCGCTGCTGCTGCTCAGATGGAAAAATTGAAGTTTTGCTGCTGGACGCGCCGCATCAACCAATCAGAGAAGCTGATCTGGGAGCTGACAGCGAGACAGACACAGCGCTC